TACTGCGCTTGCAACTGCATAAGGTCATATGAGCGCCAGAAGATTAGAGGTGTTACAAGAGAGTAATAAACATAAAAAAGAAGAAGCGGAGATAAAGACGATAGATGTTTGATAGGAAAGATGAAGCAAACCACACCAGAGCACCCACCAACCTACCACATGACTCTTTGAATAAACATGGTTTAAGTAAGAGTTTTACAGCACTTGCAGCACAAATCAGTAAGATAAGTGCTAAAGATTAGAGGTGTTACTAGAGAGTCATATACAGAGAAAAGAAGGAAAAATGAGGATGACAGGCAGTTGTTCCATTTTGTTTTGTTTTTTGTATTAGTAAGAGTTTTTACAGCACTTCCAACATACATATAGGTCAAATAAGTGCCAAAGATTAGAGGTGTTTCTAGAGAGTAACATTTAAAGAAAATGAGAAGAGATAAATACGATAGATGGTAAGAGGGAAAGAAGGAGCAAACCACACCAGATCATGGGAGAACCACCCTCTGAAAAGAAATATTAGTTACAGTATACTATCGTACTATGCTGTGGTTAAGGCTTTTTAGTTTAGTTTTAGTAAGACTTTTACTGCACTCGCAAAACAATAAGGTCATATAAGTGCCAGAAGATTAGAGGTTTTACAAGAGAGTAACATACACAAAAAAGAAGGAGGAGATATAAGGATGATAGATGTTTTATAGGAAAGAAGAAGCAAACCACACCAGAGCACCGGAAAACCACCCTCTAAAAAGAAATATTAGTTTTAAAGTATACTATCATACTATGCTGTGGTTAAGGCTTTTTAGTTTAGTTTTAGTATGAGTTTTACGGCACTTGTAACACAATAAGGTCATATAAGTGCCGAAGAATAGAATTTGTTTGTTTGAGTAAACAAAAGTACATCAACACGCACAATATTTTTTGGGGGTTTTTTATAGTAGAGGGTTTTACGGTGCTCGCAACTGCATAAGTTCATATGAGCGCCATGGGGTGGGTGTCAACAGAGAAGTCTTTACAGGGAATCAGACTTACTCTGCTCACCTCTCTAGCTTCAACAGCACAAGGTCTGCTTTGACTATCAAGGCACCCCGGAAATAGCAGGTCACAAGAGAATGACAAACATACAAAAGAAGTAGAGGAAAATGACAATAATAAGGATCAGGGAAGAAAAGGCAGCAGTTCCCTGTTGTAGATCAGGCACAGTTATGAGCGTGACATGAGTCAGCCCATTTACAATTCTACTATGCTTGAACGAGATATGTCCTTTGGGAATGGCCTAAAGACACTTCAGTCAGTGGCACTGATCCGGGGGGTTACAATAAATTTCACTTAGTGCAGAGCAAAAGTAAGAGAGATATGTACACTCACACACACTCACACACGAACACACACACACACCAACACACACACAAACACACACACACACACATACACACACACACAAACACCAACACACACGAACACACACACACACACACACACACACACACAGCCACCAACCTTTCCTTTACTGGAGCGCGTAGTCCGGGCGGCCGTAGCAAAGTCCAGCGATGGAGTGACCACCACCACCAGCTTCAGCTGTTCCTCGAACCACAGCTGTTGCAGACCCAGTACGTGGAAGCCCCAGCCCTGCGGCCCTGACCCTGCTGTTGACCCCTGAGCGACCTTTCCCTCGTCGCCAAGGAAACCGAAATGTCCCGGGACGAGAGAGAGGAGCCAGGAGAGGAGGGCAGTGTAGGTGGCAGACAGACCTTCCCCTGTGGTGGAGTGTGGAGGGTTTGAATCTTTTAGTGTCACAGACGGTTGTTGAAGTCATGAGGATGATGATGATGATGATGATGATGATTATGATGATGATTATGATGATGATGATGATATCAGTGGT